TATTTCCATTGCGCTGCAGCGGCGCACGCGGCGTACGCGGAATGCGCGGCGTAGTATGAAGGAACCCAAAGCGGTCGAAAAAGTCGCAACGAGTTTTACAGATTAAGGACTTTGTTGCAGGGCGATTTGGCAATCGCTGTTGCTAGGAAGCACTCGATTAGTAGCGCTCAAAATGATAATGTTTCAAGGCATGTAGGCGGCGCCAGTCTTTAAAGGCTAAATTTGTGTGGGAGTACTGCAGCCGTCACTACAGATCTTTGCAGACAGGGGTGGTATACTGCTGCTGGAAAACGTTTACAGATCCAAGAGATCTATTTTATAACCTACTTTGAGGGAAGATAGGACGGCTGCAGGTTTGTATCGTATGCACAAGACTCCCTCCCAAGTCTTTGTTCTAGAAGCACCCTTACGCTTATGTCTGGCCGGAATGTGATGGAAAATGCTGTGGATTACTCAAAAGACAATTCTGAGCTTAACACAAGGAGCTTAGGTTAACATTCCCAACACACATCTAGCAACTAATTCCTTCCAGACACGGTCCTATGAGAAGTGAAAACACCATTAGCTGTATGTGCAGTTCAGTTTGAGGCTACGCATATAACACGCAAGGGTAGCTGTAGTGAAGATGAATCCATTTCTCAAAAGTTCAAGCAGGTACTGAAATCCCCTTTGTCGACCATGGGATAAGGCGATAGCATGCACTGTATCGTTGTTTGTGTTTGGTCTTCTGAGTAGTTCATGCATCTTATTGAGTGACTCCCATTATCTCACCATTTCATTAGATTTACCAAAAAAACCGTTTTTTTTCGTATTGCAAAACTGTCAAATAAGACACTTCATACCGAAAATTGTTCATAACAGAAATTCCTAGTTTCAACTTTATGTACAACATCAACTTCGACAAACAATGATATGCGATAGTCCAAACAAGAACTATTTCCATTATTTCTAATTACATATATAGTGTGGACCCCGGCCAGCTTCCCATAGGTGCCGGATGTCGGTAGGGTCTTGATGTTTACTCGATGCAAAGTCGTTTTACAAGTTATCAGGGGCTTGGGAAAATGGCTCACGCATTTTTCTTATTTCTTAAACTTATAAACAAAAGGATTTTGAATCAGAG